CACAAGAAAGAGTCGAGTGTTGAAGCAGGGCCGGACAACGTAATAGTAAGTATTAAAATCCATAATGCATTTAGGAACGACGGCTTACAATCACTAGCTACGGCCGTAGTTACTCGTGACCAAGCCGAACAAGATAGGCTGGGGATGTGCCTGGTGAGTGTGCAGGGACACAAGCCAAAGTTGTACGACCAGTTCTGGTTTTACAACTTTCTTCTGTCGAGCACACCTTGACTCTCATACTCCGGGAACTAGTAGCATGCACGAAGATGTGGCATAGGAGATAACTACAGTGCTCGGCGGTTTAGACATGATTTTGAATGTAAGAAGTAGGTATAAGCAGTGCACTCACTACCCCTGCCGAATAAATATGTGGACAGAGTGGATACTCCATCCTATCTGGACACCCATTTCTCATCTGCCCTTCCACAAAGCTATCAACAGTCATGGCGACCACATCCTGGTTAAAATAATTAGCAGATAAGTTTAACCAGATCAGTGTCTGGCATGCTCGTGTCAACATTAATATCCCGTGAATTTATTATCAAAAGCATTCGCCAACCCACCTATGGGAAAGTCCTTCGGAGAGAGAAAATTGCAATTTCATTGGCGATACAGGCTAACTTGGGTCGTCTTTCGAATATGCAGCTTTGCGACCCTCATTTGAATTTTGCAACGATTTGAATTTAAAATAAGGTCCATATAATGGGTCGCCATACATTCATACTCGCTGGCATCGGCTGTTAAAAAATTAATTAAAAATAGCTGCTACAGCATGTCGCCTACAAGCTGACCCTGCTGAGTTGACGCAAAATGCACGCAAAATGCACGCAAAATGCACTCCAAATACACCTATCAAGTAAACCTGGTTCTATGTGCATGGGTGCACACAAGCTGCCATTGCTCAGTTTCACATTTTTTGATGTTTGTTCCTTTCAGACTACGCAATGACGAACTACCCAAAAAGGTGAACACTATTAGTCCCCTACAGGGCAGACATGGCATGATGTGATCAGTTTACTCGGTAAGGGTAAAAAGCAATGCCAATGCAAACCCTTTGGATAACGTGCGAGTGCGTCATATACACGCACGCGTAAAAATCATCACTTTTAAAATATTATCGTCAAACTCTGAGTAAAATTGTTTGCTAGAGCTTCCTTGTGTGGCTACCTGAAAAAAGAAGTTCGTTGCCGAATTCTGTTAGGGATTATGTGGTAAAAGGGAAAGGAAGTGCTGGGGTAAATAAGAGGTTTCTGGGGTGCGGGAAAATGCACAAATAGAAATAAATTAAAGATTCTTGTAATATTTTTACTTAACTGAAAATGTAGGCGAAAATCTAGGAAGGGCAAGAAAGACCGCAAAGAAAGCCTGCAGACCATGAAAGCTATTAGAACAACTCCTTGTCCTAAAAGGCAGCCTCACAGAAAAGCACCACCCATTGTTTTTACAAATTACTCCGAGCCTAAAATATAAAATTTATTTAGACTGTCGAGGGAAAACGTGTCCCTCGGCGGTTATTCCCTTTTTTATGGCCCGTTGCGTGAAAATTCAGAGCGGAGTTTAAACTTAGGCAATCTTGTGTAGAGTTTTGTTGCTGGTCTAATGAGATGAGGCGATTGTTGCCACTGGAACATGCCCTCAAAGCGAAATCCTTTCTGAAGGCCGTGTTATATCTTACAAATCAAGAAAGACCCCTATTTGCTGCCTGTTATATAGTGGGATTAAATTTAGACATTACAGTCTTCCTACGTAAGAGTGACGTTTTAAGTTTACTAACGTTTTCGCACGGCGTTGAACTTTTTATAGACATATCCTGTACTTTGCGAACCATGGCCACCACGCCCGTAGGCCACACTGTAGATGAGACCGGACGAAGGTACCATACACTTTTCAAGAGAAGTCTTCATCAAAAGTTACAGATTCCCCTTCGATAGCGTGCAACACACACGCAGCCTTGTTTGTAACCATGACACATTACGATGATGGCTTCAGATTGTTCTGTATCCAAATGCCAAGGTCTTTTTTTGGAGATTCTACGGAAATTTAAGTGTTGCTCAGGCAATATGTCCTCGTGCTGTCATTATAGTTTAGTTCGTGGGATGCACTTTTGCACATTTCAGTATAGGAGGCGTCTCTCTGACCACGTTTGCGGTCTGCATATAATTTGTTGCGGAGCTTCTTGGTCGCTCGAACCTTAAATGACTTGCCAGAGCTTAATGTCATCGGCAAACATGATTTTACCGCAACCCAGTTCTTGAAGGCTGTCATTAACATAAAGGATGAAGAGTAAAGGGCCGAGAACTGATCCTTGAGGAACGACACTAATCACGTTTAGCCAGTCCGATTTATCCTCTCCAATGCAAATGCGTTGCTTTCAACCGAACAAAAATGCCTTGATTCAGTTGAGAAGTCTTCCCATTTTTTCCAAGTTTACGTGAACAACGTTGGTGTGGCAGGCTATCATAGGCTTTACAGAAATTAATG